TGTTGTGGTCCACACAGTTGAATGTGTTTGCTTTGTCAATAAAGCACACATAAATATCTTTCTGATACTCTCTGCTTTCAGTCAAAATCCATCTGATGTCAGCCACAGTTTCTCTCATTCCACATTCTCTTCTGAATCCTGCTTAAATTTCTGGTAGCTCCTTGTTGATGTACTGCTCAAACCATTGTAAAATTTTCTACTGGAAAAATATTTCTGCATATGATATTAATGATATTGTTCAGTGATTTCTACGTTCTATTGGGTCAACTTTCTTTGGAATGGCCACAAATATGGATCTCTTTCAATCAATTGGTCAGTTAGCTGTCTTCCAGATTTCTTGGCATACAGGAGTGAGTGCTTCAGAGCTGTATTAGTTTGAAATATTTCAATGTATATTTTGCTAGTTCCTGGAGCCTTGTTTTTCACCAACACCTTCAGTGTAGCTTGGACTTCTTACTTTATTACCGTTAGTTCTTAATCGTATGATACCTGTGGAAACAGTTGAACGTTTACCTTTACTTTTTGGTACAGTGACTGATTATATTCCTTTCATCTTACTTTAATGCTTTCTGCATCATTCATTATTTTTACCTTGTTTTTGTTGTTGTTAAGTAATGTCGAGTCAGTTCCGACTCATAGCGACCGTATATATGGTTTCTGAGGAGTGGATGGTGAGCTTGAATTCCTGGCCTTTTGGTTCAAACTGACCTTGCAGTCCAATGCTTATCCTTCAGTGCCAAAGCAGAAATCCACTTTTAATAGAAGCCTTCAATATTACAACTCAAAGCTTGAAGTTTTTTCTTCAATTCTTTCAACTTGAGAAATGCTAAGTGTGATCTTCACCTTTGGTTTTCTAACTCCAGGTCTTTGCACAGTTCTTTATTATACTTTACTTTGTCTTCTAAAGCTGCCTATTAAAGTTTTCTGTTCAGACTTTTTGCTTCATCATTTCTTCCATTTGCTTTTGCTTCTCTATACTCAAGAGAAGGTTTCAGAATCTCTTCTGACATTCCTTTTGGTGGTTATTCTGTGTTTTTAATGGCCTTTTGCTTTCTTCAGATAGGATGTTCTTAATGTCATCTCACAACTCTCTGGTCTTCAGTTATTAGTGTCTGCTGCATCACATCTAATTTTGAGATGGTTTCTAATTAAGTTGGGATAGACTCAAGAGTATGTTTTGACTTGGCACATGGTTAGGTGAAACTCTTGGGTTCATGTGGCAGAAAGCAAACTCATAGTTGGCTCTACAACATGAAGGGAAAATTGTCTACAGTAACTGATATGGTGATATAGATTGATAGATAGATATAAATATAATGACTACTTTATTAAGTCATTTCTGATTTATGCTATACCGCCTTTAATTCTCAGAAGTGTTACGATTTAGTAAATTGTATGTTCTTTCCAACTCTGTCTTTATTGAAATGTTCAGGAAATACATCCGGATCTCTCTTAGCATGTCTTTCCTTGAGACACCCTGTTCTGCTTCCCTCTGTTTTGGCCTCATCCTTTAATATTTTCTTCCATGATAAGATCATGGAAATGGATACTTTAGGCCAGATTTCACATTCTTTCAGTGATATGACCTTTCTTGCTAACTTTCACATAAAAGTCCTGGTTGGCTTAGTCTAAATCTTCCTTTTTTTGTGGGGGAAGAAAATCACTTGCATCCAAAATGATGGCTTACTCTGATTGTCCAGCTGGAAGCAAATGACTGTAACTTTGGTGGTAACATTTGGAATGATAGCTAGCCAAGCTAGAGTGGTAGATGGATGGTTCCCCAACACAGGTAATATTTGTCACTTCCTTAAGTGTCTTACAAAAAACCCAGACCCATTGCCACTGAGTTGATTCTGACTCATAGTAATCCTATAGGGCAGTCAAACTACCCCATAGGGTTCCCAAGGCTTTAATCTATATGGAAGCAAACTGCCACATTGTACTCTTAAGGAACATATGGTGGTTTTGAACTGCTGACCATTCAGTTAGCAGCAGAGCACTTTTAACCAGTGTAGTACCCAGGCTCCTTTGCCTGAGTTGTTGTCAAGTGCTGTTGAGTAGATAGCAACTCTTAATGATTCTGTATAAGGTTTCTGAGGCTGTGATTCTTTTGGGGAGCAGAAAGCCTCATTTTTCTCCTGTAGAGCAATTGGTGGATTCAAACCACCAACCTTGCCCTTTGCAGTCCTGTGCTTTTCATCACACACACCTTTGCTTGAGTACTACCCTTATGTTTTTTAACATTTCTTCTGTGTACCTCATAAATGTGACTTGTTATTGGCTATCATTTGTAGAGAAAAGCTTTTGACTCTTTAAAACCATTATTTCACTCTACAATACCAGTATTTTAAATGTAGAAACCTAAAATTTGCTTCATTTGTAATTTTTATATTAGGTGTCTCTCTGAATAGAAAAATAATTTAAAAGCAAATTACATTAAATGTTAAGCTTTGTAAGAGTTGTTTGTTGTTTTGGTTTGTTTTTAAGCATTTCAGCCTCTAGATATCAGTTATACAAAGAGTAAATAATCACTAGTAGATATGTTAGGTAAAAATATGGTTTGTAAGTATGTTGTCTGAGTGTTTGAAAGTTAAGCAGATTTCAGGATTTTTTCAACCCCAAATCTACAAGATACTTGTTACAAACAAACCTAAATTATGTGCCACATGCCACCCGTTAGATTAAAAGATATAAAATGAATTCAGATTTAACCATCATGTCTAATATCAGGAGCATTTTGGGTTGTCCATATTAAGATTTCCAAAATTTTTAATTTTGTACATACTTCAGTTGATAGCAATCTTAATTTTTATTATTTTTGAATTTTATCTTTGCATGGCTCTCCAATTGTCTATCATTTGAACCTTTCTTTGGGCCGTTGCATTCTTTCACTAACTGGATGGACCATGCATATATATTCACCAACTTTGCATATGGATACTGGGATCTAGAATGTCCCATTATCATAGTATGGCAGCTGCTGTGTTAACCTTCGATACTGTAGACACCCAGAAGGACTTTTAAACCTTGCTAGACTCCATGGCACATAGCCATCACCAGCCACCAGAAACTGCCTACAGTGTGTTACTAAATTAGACAGATGTGTCAGCCATAATGCCTGCAGTCGTGCTTTTCACAGAGTCAACTGCACTGTAGTGTATTAATAAATAATGAAGTGCTTATCTTAGAATTGTTTATATTGGCTGAAACATTCAAAGGTTGTCTGTAACTTCAGAATGCCTGTATTGTTAATTTAGTTCTTGCCTTTCTATTTAATATAAGAGTATCTCAGGGAATTTTCTTTAATATTAAATCACAAATAAAATTTCAGCTGTTTTCCCTCTCTCCCAGATTTCCCCCTCCACCAGATTTACTCCTATGACCTGTTCTCAGAAGCCTCTCATGATGTATGTGTATGTGTTTGGGTGTCAGTATTTGTCTTTCCGTAGACAGATAAGAAAGAATGGAGAGATGAAGCCAGAGATTTGGTGCCTAATTGTATTAGTGACAGGAACTATACATAAATTCAAGTAATACTACATTGGTAGGAAGAAGAACAAATAGCATTTTGACAGTAGAAGAGTGTTTGGCAAGGGAAATGGCATGTTTGAGAGTTTATGGTGTTATCAGTAGTAGGTGTTTTAGGAACTACAAGTTGTTCAGTAATGCTGTAGTATAAAGCATGATGGATGACTCTGGGAAAGTGGGAATATTGGGCTGGGTAAGTAAAATCCTGAACCCTGACCATCAAGAAGGAATAAATTCTTTCAGGATATATAGCCTTGGCCAAAGGGAACCTGAAACCAAATTATAGCTTCCTTGTTTTGTGTTCTGCTTGAAATCAGGAGCCTGGAAAATAGTTTGTCATTTGACTGAAAGATAGAAGCTACCGTTAAATGGAAAGGGTATTCAAGATGGGCTGATTTTTTTTCCAGTGGTTATTTTAGTAGTAATATTTTCATGTTGTTGTTACTTGCTGATTGATTTGAGTTGATTCTGACTCAGAGTGCCCCTGTGTCAGTGTAGAACTGCCCAAGAGGGTTTTCCTGACAATAATCTCTACAGATGTACATTACCAGGTCTTCCCTTCACAGAGTTGCTGAACAGGCTTGAACTGCCAGCTTTTCAGTTAGCAGCCAAGCACTTAATCATTGTACCACCAGAGTTCCATGTTTTTGTATTATTATTGTTGTTAAGTGTCACTGAGTTGGTTCTAACCCATAGCAACCCTGTATAGTGTTTCCAAGGAGAGGCTGCTTAGATTGAACCACTTACCTTGTGGTTCAAACCAACCTTACGGTCCAGTGATTATCCTTTGGTGCCATAACTCTGGGACTCATAACTCCCTGCATCTGTTACAAGTGATAGAGCAACTTTGAGAACGGGTCCTAGGTTTATGACTTCAGTGACCATAAAGGTGAAAACTCAGAAAGAAACATTTCTGTATACATACCATGTATCCTCAAGTGCTAACAAATGGTGTTGACTATGTATTCAATGTTTAAAAAAATGGGTGTTGAATGAGTATTGCATGAAAAACAGCTATTTAAATGCATAATATTCTAAAATTTCTTTCAATGTGGTTTTTTGGCATCAGCACCTTCTTCTGCACAAGATTCAAAGTTTAATATTATAATAATTGGCTAAGAAGTTAGAACTTCTTCTAGTGGAGAATTAAAATTTGAATAAAACTAATTTGTAATTGCTAAATTTAAGTTATAGAAGGTTGAATTTTTTTAATGTTTAGAGAATATACACAAACACTGAAAACATATGTTTCAGTCTAGCTTACTTAATTTATGTAGAAGTAGTTTTTAATAGACAAATGGAACTAATTTTTTGAGGATTTTCTGTGTGTTTGAAATCTATAAAGTTCATTTTGATATAAAACAAAATTCATCTCTGAGAGGGAGAGAGTGAATAATTTAGTGATTGTGTTTATTAAGAGGAAAGTTGGATGTACTTCAGTGATAATATTTTTAAATCCTTTATTTTTTTAGGTGCTGGTGAATCTGGGAAAAGTACAATTGTAAAGCAAATGAAGTAAGTAAATTTAAAACATTAAACTAGTTTTATATATTGAAATATATTCTACCATCAAAGGGAAGCAAGTGTTCTTTTTTCCCCTTTTTGTCTTGCATTAGAATTATCCATGAAGCTGGTTATTCAGAAGAGGAATGCAAACAGTACAAAGCAGTGGTCTACAGTAACACCATTCAATCGATTATTGCTATCATTAGGGCCATGGGAAGGTTGAAGATAGACTTTGGTGACTCAGCTCGGGCGGTAAGTTACTAAATTTCTTGGAGCAGACCTGATAGGGGAGGGGTAGAATTTGCATGATTAATTCACACCACATAGCATAGATTCATCATCTCAGACACATTTATAAAAGGTGTTAAATATCTATCTATCTTTGTATCTATCTAGCTGTCTATATGCATATAGGAGTGGAGTGAGTCAGAAGTTTTCCAAAGTTAGTGAAATAAGAATATACAGGATTGTATAAGTTTTCCTCTGTAGCTATACTAATTTCCATATTCATCAGATGATTTAAACAGCTCAATAATCATTGCAGAATTTTCCATATAGCATGATATATAGTTGGTAGCCCTGAATCACCATAACAACTTAGAATAGTAAGTACTGAGTTTAGTAAATTGCCTACACTGGCACTCCTCAAAAACTGCTTTTATAATTTGGAATGCTTAAATGAATTAATCATTTGTATTCATGCCCAGATTAAAGAGTGATTTTAATTTTATAGAATGAAAAATAATATGAAAGTGTGGGCTTTTTTGTAATACGAAATGAAGGATTTTTAGAAAACATGTATAAGAATTATAGTATTAAAGGGAACTTTTAGAGACCGTGTTGTTCTGGTGTTTTTTTTATCTAACCAGTAAGAAAAATGCATCCTCGATGACCATTATACATAAAAAGCCCTACTACCATACTTGCATTTCCTTATTGGGCCCAGTCACTTGTTTTCAGTTTGGCTAGAACCAGCCCTCCCTGTTCCAGTATATACTATCTTTTCTTCCGCCTCCCACACCCACTCTGTCCCTGCTTTTTTGACTTGCTTCTTTTTATTTGGTATTTGATTATGATATATGGTCTATAATTTCACTGTTCCCCTTTTCAGTAATGGATTCCCTAGCTTAATTTTTTTCTTCAGGTTTGTTTGTTTATTTGGTACAAAGTGTGAGTATGTTACTATTCCCACTACTGCACGTCTTCCTCCTCCTTTTTTTAGTTTTTGCTTTTTTTTTTTCCTGTTATATTTTCTGTATTCAATATGTATATTGAATATTGAATGTATATTAAAAATATTATGGGTATATTGTAGAAAGAGACTAAAGACTTTTCTTCTTGTCTTCTTAATGTCTTATGCATACATGTTTATATATAAGAAAGGACTTCAAAACTTTTGTGGAAAAATTCCATATCTTTTCATTTTTCCATGAACTCTTTGAACCCACCCACCCACCCCCACTTGTGTGTGTACTTTTAAAAAAAACATGGAAATGCAATAAGGACTTATTAGGGGAAAAAAAAGATGAATGCATCAAAAGGAAAATCTCTAAAACAAGCCTGTTGTATTTTTTAATTTCTTGATAAGTTACTGGGCTACATTAATTAATTAAATTGAGTCTTTTCCATTTAAGCAAAGATATTATAAAGTCTAGTGTGGCAAAGTAAAACTTTCAAGTAGATGTCAAGATTATTTTTAATAATAGTTGATAAGTCTTCTAAAGTTTCTTTTCTGAAGTAAGATTTTATATATCCAGAACATTCTTTGCCTTACCTGCTATCCATTTGATCTTTAATGTATTGTTTTATCATTTGTTCATTCAATAGACTCTTCTTGAGCTCCTACTTTTATCTAGAAGAGGAAAAAGAAGTTATATAAATTATACTGTAAATCAATTTCAGTGTTGGTAATTTAAACCTTTTATCAAATTCATGTACCTAAAATTCTGTATTCAGGTGAACATTTAGAAGGAAAATTTTTTTCTTCGCTATTTTAAGAGGCAATGTAGGGTCAGTACCAGCAGCTTTTTATAGGTTTTGTTTCTTTTCTATCAAGGAATATAATTTTCTATTTTTGTGATTTTTGTTTTTGTTTTTGTTTTGTTGTTGTTAAGGGCCATCTAGTTAGTTCTGGTCCACAGAGACCCAATATAAGGTTTCCAAGGAGCTACTGGTGAGTTTGAACCGTCAACCTTGAGTTTCAAAACAACCTTGCGGTCAAATGCTTGATTTTCTTAGCCACTGAGGCTGAATGAACCCCCAAAATTGTTGCTCTGAGATAATCATTAAATTGTAATTTGAAACGATATCCTAAAATAAACTTTGAATAAACGCAACCAAAAAAGAAAAATAGTTTATCTTTGTTAGTAAAGTAGGTCTGTCTTGAGTGCTGTGCTCTTTTAAAGACTATGTATGTGAGATCAAACTGGCAATAGAAACTTCGGAGGCAATCACTTCGTTAAGTCAATGGTGGCGAACAGTTTGGAGAAGGATGGCATGAATGTTTATACAACTAGAAGACTGTTATCAGTGTCACTGAGTCATACATTGAGAAGTTATTGAAATGGTATATGTTGTTAAGTACCAACAAGTTGGTTTAGACTCATAGTCAATCTGTATAGAGTTTCTGAGGAGTATTTGGTGGGCATAAATCACCGACCTTGCTGTTAGCCATACAGTGTTATCCACAGCATCACACCAGGACTCAGAAAATGGTGTATAATTGTGTGTATTTTCACACACTTACTAAAAAATATGTCTGGTGTTTTGAAATTGGTACATAGGTCTACTTTGCTTATCTTTGATTTTCACTAGTGTTATTAGCCCTGGTGTGTGGCAATGTGGGATAATGCACTGGACCTTAAGGTCAGTTTGTATGGCAAGGTTGGTAATTCAGATTCACCACCTGCTCTTTGGAAACCCTATACAGAGTCGCTATGAGTTGGAACTGACTCAACAACACTTAACAACACCAAGTTTAACTCATGATTCATAGATTCTTTAACTGTTTCCTGCTACCTTCAGTCCATAATTCTCTTTACTTTAGACATCTTCAGTAACTCATTCCCTCCAAGGTCTTCATTTTCTCAGAGTACGTCTGCTTGGTGTACTCCTACTTTGTGTTGTTTTACTCCTATGCAATCATTAAATGCCACCAGGAATCCTGGTGTGTCACTGCAGGATAATGCTTTGGGACACAAGGTCAGTTTGAACTGCAGGGTCTGTGGTTCACCCCTACCATCTGCTCCTCAGACCCCCTATACAGGGTTACTATGAGTCAGAACTAGCTCAAAGGCACTTAAGAACAACAGCAAAGACTCTCTAAAGAATACAAAGGTGAATTAACGCTGATATTTTTCTTGAGTCATAACAATCTTCATGGAGCAAGAGACATTTGAATTTGCTATTGAAAATTAATGGGAGTTTTCTAGACAAAAGACAGAAAAAGCATTGTATGAATGTTGTTGTTGTTGTTAAGTGCTTAATAGTTGGTACTGACTCATAGCTACCCTGTACAAGGTTTCCAAGGAGAGGCTGTTGGGTTTGAAATGCCAGCTTTGTGGTTAGCAGTCCAGTGCTTATCACCAGGACTCCATGGAAACAGCAAATTCAAAACAAGTCTGAATATATTTCTGCTGATTCCTAGAATTGTCATCCAGGAGTTTGAAGATAACCATATATTCATTTTGATATTGTTGTGGGTATTAAGTGTCATTGAGTTGGTTCTGACTCATAGCAACCCTGTATAGGGTTTCTGAGGAGCAGTTAGTGTGTTTGAATCACCGACCTTGTAGTTAGCAGTTCATTGCTTAATCTTTAGTGCCACACCAGGACCCCTTCATTTCTCTTATGACTACTAAAAAAGAAAACATGTTTGAATAATATGTAAAGGAACTGAACAGAAGATTTCAAAGAGCAACTTTGAAATAAAGATTAAAGAAGACAAAATAAAGTATTATAATGAAATGTGTAAAGACTTGGAGTTAGAATACCAGAAGGAAAGAACATGTTTGCATTTTTCAAGCTAAAATAACTTAAGAAAATATTCAACCTTTGAATTACAGTATTTAAGAGTCCTATGGGCAAAAACATTGAACGATGCAGGAAGCATCCAAAGAAGATGGAAGGCATACATAGAGTCACTCTACCAAAAAGACTTGGTCAATGTTAATCCATTTCAAGAGACAGCATATAGTTAAGAACGGATGATATTAACAGAAAATATATAAGCATTGAAGGCATTGATGAAAAATCAAGACACCAGGAATTGACAAAATACCAATTGAGAAGTTTAAAAATGTAGATGCAACACTGAAAAAGTTAATTAATCGTTGCCAACAAATCTGGAAGACAGCTACATGGCCAACTAACTGGAAGAGAGCCTATTAGTTCTCATTCTAAAGAAAGGTGATTTAACAGAATGTGGAAATTCTTAAACAATATCATTAATATAACATGTAAGTAAAATTTAATTATCATTAATAATTAAAAAGTGGTTGAAACAATATAGCCACAGGGAACTGTCAGAAATTCAAGTTGGATTCAAAAGAAAACACGTCATGTGGAATACCATTGCTGATGTCAGAAGGATCTCCACTGAAAGCAGAGAATACCAGAAAGATATTTACCTGTGTTTTATTGGCTATGTAAAGGGATTGGACTGTATGGATCATAGAAAATTATGGATAACATTGCAAAGAATAGGAATTCCTCATAATTGCACTCATGTGGAAACTGTACATAAGCCAAGGGATAGTTGTTGAAACAAAACAAGGGGATACTTCGTGTTTTTAAATCGGGAAAGGTGTGCATCAGGGTTGTATCCTTTCATCATATTTATTCAATCTGAATGCTCAGCAAATACTCTGATAATATAAGTATATGAAGAAGAACCTGGTATCAGAATTAGAGGAAGGTCCATTAGCAATCTGTGATATACAAATGACACAATTTTGCTTGCTGAAAATAAAGAGGATTTGAAGCATTTATCGATGAAAAAATTACACAGCCTTCAATATGGATTATACCTTAATTTAAAGAAAACAAAACCACTCACAACTGGACCAATAAGCAACATCATGATAAACAACAGATATTGATGTTGCCAAGGATTTTATTTTGTTTGCATCTATAGTTAACACCCATGGAAGCAGCAATTAAGAAGTCAAACAGCGTATGTCATTGGACGTATGTGCTGCAAAAGACCTCTTTAAAGTGTTTAAAAGCAAGATGTCACTTTGATGACTAAAAAGCACCTGATCCAAGCTATGGTATTTTTAATCTTCTCATATGCAAG